CGCTGATGCTGCAGTCCTATTAGCTGATTTCTTAGGGTACGTCTGCATTGCTGCGTTATTTTGGAATAACTGGTGTTAGTTCAAAATAACATTAGCCATTATAAAACAATCCTGGGGCACCTAAGGTTATATCTACACAGCAGAGTTATTTCAGAATGACTAACGTTATTCCTAAATAACAAAGAACGTGTCTACACTGCAAGCCATTATTTCGATATAATGTCGAGCTGGACAACTTCTTACTCTGACTCCTGTAACCCTCATTTCACGAGGAGTAAGGGAAGTCAATGGAAAGTGTTCTTCCTTGGACTTCCTGCTGTGTAGACAGCGCCAAAAGCCAAATTAAACTATTACAACCTCAGCTATGCAATTGACGTAGCTAAATATGCGTATCTTGGTTTGACTTTTGCCCTACAGTGTAGACGTGCCCATAAGCTTTCAGCTCCAAATGGTGGAATTCCCCTAAGATGTGTTGGTCCAGGGATCTTTTTCTGGTCTTCAGCTGCACCTCATCCTCAGTTTTTTAATAACTTAGAACTCCCTTCCCACTTCCAGGGAATGGGGGTTAGATTTGAATCTTTCTAGAAAAAAATGCATACAACTTTTCTGAATGATTTCAGCTTATAGGGCCAAATCAGTGGTAGTAAATGAGCATAGATAGCTCCATTGACTTCATCTGGCAACCTACACTAGCTGAGCATCTGTCTCAAGGTGTCCTATTTATAATTTTTTTAATCTGGGTGCTGATGGCAGCCTTTTAAATAAAGTTCTGAATTCATCTTTTTTACTCTTAATTTATAATGGTGCTTTGGGGATGTGCGGATATTTAAAATGAGTAAAATCAATTAACTCAAGATCTAATTATATGTGCTAGCCACCGAGGGGATTTTTTTGGAGTACTGGAATAGCTTTTCCCTATGCAGCACCCTGCTTTGAGTGTAAATCTTGTGTTTTGAGAGAAGAGGAACCTATTACACTGTGACCTCCATTTCCAAAATTAGCTTGAGTTCTGAGTTCATTTTTTAACCCTTCTCTTATTGCTTTTGATTTTTAAGGGAGAATCGTTGTTGCTACAAGATGTTTCCCTAGTCACTGGGGAACCTGTTCTGGGTAAAAAGGGACCTCCAGAGTTAGAAGGACACCATAGGAAGCCTGATGTAGGACATATTCTGTATTTTTCCATAGTAAGGATTTCTCTCTCTCTCTCTCCTTCTCCTTCTCCTTTCACTCTCATATAAGTGATGAGAGTCTTCACAGTCTTCCACGTAATACACTGGAGAGCCAATGTTGTGATTTACTCTTCAATCCATCTCCCCTGGTTTTAGTCTATCCTGGGAAAAACTCACTGTAGCTGTTCGTCAATAGCTTGTGCCTGTAGCTACTCTGCGGTAACACTCCACATGGGCCCTTTTTCTGCTCCCTAAAGTACCTTTCTGTCCATTAGCTTAATGCACTTTGGAAATGTGCTAAATTAGTTTGCCTGGGGGCATGCTTCCTACGCTACACAGCCAGGGTCCTAACATGGAGTGAGTCTGGAGTAGTTAAAGTGCTTGAAATTCACACCCTCACTTATTGTGTCATCACTTCCCCATGTAAACAAGCCCTGACATTCTAAACACTAAGAAGCTTCAAACAGTCACTCACTTTGGTGGGTATCTAAAGTGCTTGTATATTGCAGGACACCTAGGGTTCATGTAACATGAAGGTAGGCGTTATCAGGTTTAACACTGTTGCCTTCCCCAGAGGAGTTTCAGTTACTTGGCCTGCTGGTATGGTAGTTTAGAAAAGGGCAATAAAATGATTAGGAGTTTTGGAACAGCTGCTATGTGAAGAGAGATTTAAAAGACAGGGAGTTTTCATCTTAGAAAAAAAAAGGAAACTAAGGGGGGATATTATGGAGGTCTATATAATCATGACTGGTGTGGAGAAAGTGAATATGGAAAAGTTATTTACTTATTCCCATAGCATAAGAACTAGGAGTCACCAAATGAAATCGATAGGTAGCAGATTTAAAACAAACAAAAGCAAGTACTGTTTCATACACCATACAGTCAACCTGTGGAACTCCTTGCCAGAGGATGTTGTGAAGGCCAGGATTTTAACTGGATTCTAACAAAAGTTGATACATTCATGGAGTATAGGTCCATTAATGGCTATTAGCCAGGATGGGTAGGAATGATGTCCCCAGCCTCTCAGCGGCTGGAAATGAGCAACAAGGGAGGGATCACTTGATGATTACCCACTCTGTTCATTCCCTCGGGGGACACCTGGCATTGGCCACTGTCAGAAAATAGGATACAGGCTAGATGGAGCTTTGGTCTGATCCAGTAAGCTGCAGTCTGTTTCTCATTGTTCCTGGGTCCACATCTGATATACTTTGCAGGGCTGCAAAACTTAACAGACCAAAGAGGGATCACAACTGATTTTGCTAATTTGACAAATTGTTGTCAATAATGAGAGTGAACTTGGAAAGCTGATTTTGACAAAAGTTGCAGGTGCAACTAATATTCAAGGCCTAACTGCTACAAGAAATGATGGATTATTTTAGAACATGAGACCTGAACAAGTGTGCTTTATAAATTCCTGCACTTTTCTATAATGGTGCACCTTCTTGGTAACTGTTGATCTATTATATCTAAAGTTCTTAATGTTATATTTTCTTTTGACCCATTTGAAGTTAAGTTAAAACATATTGTTAAAATATTATTTCTGGTTAATTAAGCTGTAAATGAGCTTAACGATCTGCCTGAACCAAAGCTCAATGACAACCTATGTATTCACTACCAAAATCAAAAGAACCTTTACATTCCTTGCCAACTGTACTGATGAGCATAGAAATGGACAATCAATAATGTTGCCCTTCTAAGAAAATGAAGTCTGAAGCTGAAAAGCTTGAAATAAATGAATGTTAATGCATGCACTCAGATTCTCCAGATAAATTCAAAAAGGAATTGAGAACCTAAGTCAAGTCTGTTGGAAGAAATTAAAAAAAAAAAAGAGGATGGTGAAGATAGGAAAAGACATATTTGTCTCCCCTGTATTTAGTGTCAGGAATCACATTGTACCTACCAAGTAACCAGATTGAAAAGTCTATATTGTAATGAGACAGTATTTTAGATCTTCTATCTTGGGTAATATTTGGAAATCCCTATAACGTCTCAAAATAGTCTATGTTCTGAAGAATGAGATTGGTAAGGCAGAAGAAAGGGCTGTTCATCATGACTACTTAGGCCAGTGGTGAAGCTGAACCTAAGGTGGAGCTGATCTGGCCTCTGGCTTGCCTGGATCAGGCCCCTGAGGGTTGGAGCTCTCCCCACCCCCATAGCACTGTGGATCCCAGGCTGGTACTCCAGCCCCATACCTCCCCCCTTCCCCACCACACGCAGCCCCCCGTGGCACTAGAGTGCCAGCACTGGCTCCCCACTGTGGAGGGAGGAGCCCCAAGGCTCACAGGCTGGAGTCAGGCAAGCCAGATCTGGATCAGATCCACAGGCTCTGCCTGGCTGTGGGAGGAAATGGCTACATGCACTGCCATCCCCCTCCCCATGGTTGGTGCAGTAAAGCAGTGCCTAGAGACTTTTCCCCCACACAATCTACTAGCTTGGGACCCCCTAGCCTCTGCTGTGTGAGGGGAATGTGTGTGTCTGTGGGGGGATGTCTTTCAGCATCTCAGTCAGGGGCCACGTCAGTGAGTTGGGTTTGGTTTTGTTTTCCTTTGTTTTTTGCTTCTCAATTTTGTGCAGACCCTGACTGATTTTTCTGTGGGTCAGCAACTCCCAACCCCAAAAAGTTTCCCCACCCCCATCTTAGGCAAAAATATTGACACCACTAGAGATGTGCAATAGACCAAAGTTGTCCCTGGGAATAAAAACCAGTATTACCACTGACAAAAGCCACAGGCAAACCAGTTAGGGGAATGGAGGCTGCTTATGTTAATAAAGTTTGCAGGATAGAGCCAATGAGGGCTAATCCTGAGAGATCTTGGGATCTGACAGCTCCTAATGATCTAAAAGGGGCTACAAGTCATCAGTGCTTCTCAATATTTGGTCTTGAATCAATCTGAGCCTCAATTTGTCCATCCATCAAATGGATACATCAAAATTTTCCCCAGCACAAGACCATGAAGAGATGTAGCCATTAAATTAATTACTATAAAGTGTTTCAGCTGCCAATGCTTTAGAGACAAGAAAAAAATATTGTGTCTGAAACCCATGTGCATCTGTAATCATTGAGAATGGCATTCATCTAAAGTTTGATTGGCTCATAATCAAGTCATAGATTACTCCATGTAAGATTTGCCTAACTGATCTGTAAAATAGCTGCAAACTTAAGGTCATGACAGCTCTTCTCTCTTAAAAGAGAATGCAATGCATGACAGTTGTAGGAATAAAATAGGAAAAAGGAACTCTAATTATTCTATCCATATTAGAGTAACTCACCAGAGAAAAAGTAGGACAGGGATACATGAGTCAAATATTTTATTTATTTATGGAAACTGTAATGAACAATTAAAAAAGGAGAGGGCTTTGTAACAAAACAAATGGCAAGAAACTTAAATGAAGAATGAATTGTGTTTAAACCTATCCACCCTTTTGCTTCCTCATTCCTGATTAATTCTTTTGACAGTAGTTGTGCACTTCTGCACTTCAGTGTGTTGTCTGCAGTTATCAGCAGTGTATTAATTAAAATTACTAGAACATTTTTTCCTTCTCAGTCAAGTGCTTTCAAAGGATGTTTTCTGTGACACTCTCGCTTATCTGCAATCTGCAAAGAGCAGAGGCAGCACAGTGGTAATGCAGTGCCTTACTCTTCATGGTCTGGGAATGGAATATTTCTGGCCAAGGAAATGCAGTTTCACTCCAGTATTACCACGTTCTTCTGGTATGGTAAAAAATTAATGCCGTGTTGAACAAATGTTTTTGGTGTGGTCATTGCTACAAAATAGCAACTATGATTATTGTTAATAACACTAATACTAATAACAGCCATTATTATTTTAGTTCCAAGCCACAGTAAAGGAAGGAGTCACTGGGGTGATAGTGAATTTAACCGTTGAAGACCGAGATGACCCAGCGACAGGAGCTTGGAGAGCGGTCTACACCATTATCAATGGAAACCCGGGACAAAGTTTTGAAATCCAGACCAATCCAAAGACTAACGAGGGAATGCTCTCTGTGGTCAAAGTAAGGACAAATCGCTGTTGTATAATTTCTTCTTACGGTGAGGTGAATTACACATGAAAAAGATTAACTGCTTGATTTAGCATGTTGAAGGTATATTGTTGGCTAGGAGCCCCTGTTCAGTTTAGGCAACAGTGTATTATGTTACAACAACCTTTCCTGCACCTGCTTGATCTGCCAGTGTGCTAGGGTGTACGGTGTAGTTTTGTTGTGTGGGTAGATATACACCAGTGGCCGGCAAGAACCAGCATACAGGCTGGATGTGGTTAGCCCTTGCTGGGCCACCACTGTTATATTTACCTGTGCCTCTGCAAATGTAGGCACTTCCAGCTCCTGTTGGCTGCAGATCACCGTTCCTGGACAATGGGAGCTGCAGGAAGTGGTGTCTCAGTCCGTGACACTTCCTGCAATTCCCATTGGCCAGGAATGCTGATCTGTGGCCAACAGGAGCTGCAAGAGCTCCGTCTTGTGGAGGTGCAGGTAAACATGATGGCAGTGGCCCACCAGGGGCTATCTCTGGCAAACTGCTGCCATCTTATTGCCCATCGCTGATATACATGAAGAATTATATGGAGCCCACATAATATTTTTTATTTGTAAGTGAAGGCAAGTTTCAAGTTCAGAGACCATATTCTGCTCTTGATTATACTTCTATATACCCCATTGATGTCAAGGACGTTACTATAGGCTGACAGTAGTTTATATAAGGGTAGAATTTGGCCATAGGCCTCCAGATGTTAGTGCAGCAATCCACTATGCCATCTTTGTATTTATGAGATGCTCTGGCATTTTGCATTACAAAAGAAACAGTCACATTAGGGACTACACTGGAATTTCTCCTCTTGACTCCAATAGAAGCAGATTTGGGTCTTAAGTGAAAAGGAATACTATGGCATGGCATTGCTATTGTTTTAGAGATATGAATATGGCAAAATAGCCTATTGATACTTATTAATCATTACAGTATTCAGCGTATATATATATTTGATCAGTTTAATGAGTACATACTAATTTGTAAATGGAAATGGAAGCTAACCACTGAATGGCATAAGTGAGCTATGGGGAAAATCCATACTGTTGTGCTGATGGAAGTTTCCCTTTTTAATGAGAATGTTTGGCTAAATTCCCAGCTGTAGCTGATAACTTACCAAGATTAAAGCTGAAATGGAATCTCTTAGTGACATTCCCATTTGTGGTGAATTGCCTGAATTCTGTGGTGTATAAATGGATGAATAATGAAAATTTAGCCGCCAGAGATACACATTGTATCTTCTGTATATGTGATCTATAGACATATGTTATGTTTCTTTTGTGTAGCTTTTTTGTTTGTTTGTTTGTTTGTTTGCTTGTTTGTTTTAAAGTTGTTCCCTTTCTCCCTTTTTTGAAAACAATCCTGGCTAATGGTTTCTAACTAGAGTTTGTTGGTATTTTTTCCCCTATGAAAAATTTCAACTTTTAGTAAAAATGAAAAGTCTCAACAACTTTCAACCCAATTTGTTTTGCTTTTCAGTTGTCAAAGGAAATGTCTCAAATTTTTTGAAGAAAACAGACCATTCTTATAATAATTTTTGTTTAGCTGGAAGCCCAATTTTCTGTGCAAAAAGTTTGACAGAATTTTTTCCCATCAGCTCTACTTCTTAAATTATACTACCTTGCAGTGAAAGTTGTCACAGTGTATTGGAGCTTGAAAGGGACAGCTGCCCCAGCAGCTGCATAAATGAGGGTGATAACAACTATACCCAGAGAAGGCAGGAATAGTCTTCTTATTGACTAGTGTGATTGATATTATCCAAATAACAATCCTGGTTCACCACGTCTGCTGGAAGAGAGAGGTAGAGCAGTTGGGTTACTTAGCAGGAGGGATAAAGTGCAAAATAACTAAACATGAAAAATGTTCTTTTGGTCCTGTGTTACTTACTTTAATGCTTTTCTTTGCAATATGGAGCTATAGGTTGAACCTCTCGGCTGTGTCTACATTGGCACCCCTTTCCAGAAAAGGGATGCTAATGAGACACTTCGGAATTGCAAATGCCGCGGGGGATTTAAATATCCCCCGCGGCATTTGCATGAACATGGATGCCGCTTTTTTCCGGCTCGAGGCTTTGCTGGAGAAAAGCGCCAGTCTAGACGGGATCTTGTGGAAAATAAGCCCTTTTCCACAAGATCCCTTATTCCTACTTGAAAGTAGGAACTAGACTGGCACTTTTCTCCGGCAAAGCCCCGAGCCGGAAAAAAGCGGCAGCCATGTTCATGCAAATGCCGCGGGGGGTATTTAAATC